TTCAAAGGGCTGTTGAGAAAAGGAGCAAGCGAGGTGCTGCAAGCTGCCTCGGAGCATTTCCGAGAAGCCTACGCGCTGTCGCCGGCGCCCTCCCCTGCGGAGCCATGGCCGATCGAGGAGGGAAAGACGCTGCAGGAGAGCGATCGCATGCAGCTGGACAGCGAATGGTCAGAGCAGGAAGTAAAAGCGGCGCTAAAAGGCTTACCGGCGGGGAAGGCCCCGGGGCAGGACGGCCTGCCAAAAGAACTCTTCGAAAGAAACTGGGAGCTGCTGGGCCCGGCAGTGATGAGAGAGGTCAAGAGCTTCGAGTCAGCAGGGGTGCTTTCGGAGTCTTTCACAACGGCGGTCACGATCCTCCTGCACAAAAAAGGAGACAGGGACGACTTGGGAAATTACCGACCGATCACTCTACTGAGCTTCTTCTACAAATTGCTGGCGAAGGTGTTGGCGAACAGAATCAAGGTGGTCTTACCGCGTGTGATCTCAGCCAACCAGTTCGGCTTTCTTCCGGGGAGGAGTCTCGCTGACGCTGTCTCTCTGGTAGCAGATGCGATTGATGCTGCGGAGCAGGAGGATGAGGATTGGCTGCTGCTGCTGGTTGATTTTCAGAAAGCTTACGATTCGGTATCACGTGAATACCTCTTCGCGACATTGGGCAACATGGGTTTCCCGGAGAAGTTCACGAGATGGGTAAAGGGTCTCCACGATGGAGCGGCAACCAGGGTACTGTTGAACGGTTGGATTGGGGAGCGAGTAGAGATGGCCAAAGGGGTGCGCCAGGGCTGCCCGCTCGCCCCGTATCTCTTCCTCTGCGCGGTTGAGCCTCTCTGCCAAGAAATTCAACGGAGGAAACTGGGGGTCAGGAAGAGAGGGGTGAAAGGGAGCTTAGACTACATTGGATATGCAGACGACACGACGCTGGTCTTGAAGGGCAAAGAGCAGGTGGCGGTTGCTGAGAAACTGCTAGGGGAGTTCGCGGCAATCTCAGGACTGAAGGTGAACCGGGATAAGACAACATTGATGCCGCTCGGGAAAAATCGAAGGAGGCTGCAGCCGATAGCGTCGTCTTTCAAGTGGGCGGCGAAGAACACATCTGAAAGGCTGCTCGGAATCTGGATCACCTCTGGAGGCTCGCCGGGACCTGCATGGGACAAGGCTTTCGAGAAGGTTAGCGCGGTGCTGAGTTGCTGGGAGACTAAGCATCTCAAAACCTCGGCACGGGTGACCATCATAAACAGCCGAGCTTCTCATCCATCCGTGCTTCATTTTTACTTCTTTGCTCGATTTTCTTCTTCATGCTCCAAGCCTGTTAGTGGCGTTTTTACAACCATGGCGGTTGGCGTGCCAGCGGAAATAATGGAGCTGCAGCGCGATGCCGATTTTGCTCTTCCAGGCGCAGATCTACGCCCCACCGTACGAGGTCTGGACCAAAGTGAAGAGGCTCTGTCATAATTTCATCTCCGGTGGGAAAGCGCTCCTTGATCGACACTTCACGCTATGGAGTTATGAACTGTCGTGCAGAGGACGGAAGGAGGGGGGCTTGGGGGTGATTGATCTGAAACACCGGATTGACAGCATGGTGATCCAAGGACTGGGAAAGGCCCTGGTGGAACAGGAGCCACTTCGAAACTGGTTATGGGAGAGGGCGGCGGCTTTCCCCCTTGGCCTGGCCACGGTTTACGCGCACCCTTCGGTCCTGAAGTCCTGGCTGGGAGGGGGCACGAGATGGAAGGCCACTATTAAGGCACTGTGGGACTCAAAACTTGTGGACATAGGCGATCCGGCTCACAGATGGGACGCAGAGGAGGAGCAGTTACTTTTCAACCGCAGTATTTTCTTCAGAGGCAGATCACCCTTCGGCAACCAGGCGGGCTCGCTCTGTCTGAAGGGCATCCGACTGGGGGATTTGGTGGTGAAAGGAGGAGACGGCAGCAGAGCTCGTAAGAGCGATGAGGTTCTGGAGAGGGAACTGGGAGGCGTGGAGCAGAGGAAATGGGCCCTGAAGGCGTGGGAGGCGACACCGCAGAGATGGAAGGATATGGTGCTCAACCAGCTGTCGGCGGATGAACTCTTCAGGGAAACGAGTTTGGTCCGCTCTGCGTCTTACCGCCCGGGGGAGTTCTTTTATTATCAGATGCAATATGTGAGCAACGGCGAACTTTACGGTCGAAGAGTGACGGTGGACAAGAAAGGGAACATAGGCGAAGTGGAATATGCTAGCGTGGTATCGGTGGAATTTCGGCGCGCTTCACCCATGGCAGTCATAGATGGAAGGGCCCGCGGTTTACTCGGCGCTCCAAGAACGCGACTGCTCTATTCTGCAATCTGTGAGAAAGGCGAGCGGGCGGATCTAAAGAAGTTGAGGAAGGCGATGAAACCCTCGCTGGCGCAACCGAAACAGCAGCTGAAGTGGGAGGAGGAATTGGGGAGGAAGATCGGCTGGGGGAAGGCTATCACGGTCCGTGACTCACTGGCAACCCCATGCAAGGCGCGAGAGGTGATACTGAGGGTGCACAGTAACAACCTCCAAGTAGGGGAGCGGCTCCCCTTCTTGGGTGCGAGGGCGAAATGCACGCACTGTGGCGGAGTTGAGTCGCAAGATCACTGCCTTTTCAGCTGCCCGGTGATCCAACCTGTGGTGGAGGTGATGAGGAAAGCGGTTCAGTGTATGAACCCGGGCAGGGACATGCGATCTCTCAGGGACATGCTCTTCCAAAGGAGTGGCACGTCGACTGGCTTCCCAGAGGCTGCAATCATATCCATAACAGCGCATCAAGTCTGGCTGGAGAGGTGCAATGCGGTTTTCCGTGGTAGCCGGTTCCAACCAAAGAGAGCATTGAGACGCATGGCAGTTGGTTTCACGAGGCACGTGAAGATCTACAGCAGAGCGCGGAAGAAAATGGCTGGCAGGAGTGTTTCGAAAAGGACGGGTGACTGGAGCCACTTGAATGCTGACGAAGCAGGAGCTATGCGCAGGCTCTATGAGACAGAGGCCTCGATGACGTGGAGAGCGGGTTTTAAGGCGATCTGGGAAGACGGCGGTGTTGTTTTCCAACCTCCATAAAAGGATAAGGGGGGCTCTGGTTGCTTGGATACTTGTAACCTCCTCATGCCCTCCTAGCATCAGTTACGACTGCGGATGTATGTATGCTGGTAGTGTACTTATATCCACCAAAAAAAAAAAAAAACCACACCCCCGAACGGAGATGGAATCGTGCGGAACAGAACGACAGTCGGAACTGGGAAGCATTGGATTTTGACAGTTCAAGTTTGGCGTTTCCGAGAATGGGACGATACAGTAGTGAGGTGGGATGGGGTGGTCCTCCCAGTGTGAACGACGCACGTCCTTGGGGATAGCGTGACAAGAAGATTTTGAATTTCGGCGCCTGACTCTTTTCGATCAGTCATCCATTAACCACTGTAAATTTATAGACCGCTCTAGGACGAAAGAGAACTCAGTGAGCCGAGGCTCGTCTCTGTATTATATATATAATGAACCTTTATGCTCCTAGAGTTTCCTTGGTCACAAACAACCAGCAGAAACCAATTCAGGCAGCAATTAGGAACTGCACTTGGTTTGGGACATCAGCATGCCTGTCGTCCTCTCCATCGTACGATTTGTCGCTAGTTCTCTCCACCGCACCCTCCCACCAACCACGTCAGCCCTGAAGACTTGAGTATCCTCCATTCACGTCGACTTTCTTGTCTAGCCTCCCCCTCACTCCTGCCCTGACTTTTCCAAATCGAACTGGGTCTTTGGTTGGGTCTGGTTCGAGTCCCCGACCTGCCCTGACCCTGCCCCACGATGCACGCACACATCTCCACCAGTGCCAGTCTCCCCTCCTGTGGACTCAAGACACCGATGTACAGTGTATTCTGGGCAGCAGGAGTGCTGCTGCGCAGAGAAGCGTTTCGTTTCGTTACTTCCACCGCCCTCCCTCCTCCCAACCCCAACCCAACAGCATTTTCCGTTTCCCACCTCCACCTCATGTTCATCTGCTCCTCGTCGTCATCCTTCGTCCCATTTCTCCCAACCAACGTTCCCTTCGGATGCCACAGCTCACCACCACAAACCACAATCCCAGTCGCAGCGCCTCGAGAACCCAGCTCATAACATTCGGACCCGAACTTACTCTAGGTTTAGGAGACATAGGCTCGGCTCTGCCTGGCTCGCCGAAACCAAGCAAAGCTGCGTGTTCGCCTGTAACCGGAACCCTAGTCTTATATCCTTCGCAGAGCCAGTATCCCTTTATCTTGGAATCATTTTTCTGTGTCAAGAAGTCTCAGCTTATCTCTCGATGACGAGCACGGATCAACATCCTGTGGCAGCCCCCCTCCGACCGCCGCACAGAACGTCCTACTCTGCCGGGAAGTCCGTTACGAACGCGCTTTTCGGTAACCACGCCGACGATGATTCGCCGGGAGCCCTGTCCAGCGTGTACGCGGCGCGTAGAACCCTTTCGAAGGACACGTCAGCGTCGCTTCTTTGTTCTGTAGATGCCGCCGCGATAAAGCAGTTCGAGAACGTGGAAAGAGCCTCTGTTCCCGCAGTTCCCGCCAAGACTGTAAATCTCTCTGCGACCGACTTACTGCTTCTCCTCAGTCCGAGTGTCGCCAATAACGCAAACCTCCACGCATCCACGAACAACCCTTACGGTTGTCGCGAGTGCTCGGGGAAGTTCCCCTCGTTAAACGCACTTAACGAGCACTATCAGGAGGAGCACCAGAAAGAGTCCCACCTTTCTAATTCCAACTCCCCTCTTATCCATGGCGCCGGAGCGCTTACGCCTCCTAGCGGAATCTCAGAACGTCTGGATTCGGGATCCCCGGTAATAGAGTCTTCGGTATCGAACAGTGGGCGCACGAAACGCGGCAACGGACGGCGTGTTCTTAGCGGTCCGCTCGAGGCGCCGCGACGACGCACGGGACGGCGCGTCGTGAGTGGGCCCCTGGAGCCGCGGAGAGTCACCGCGCGGAAGACCAGCGGTCAAGCGAGTCCGATGAGTCAAACAAGTCAAGGAACGGGGGAAGACGAGGCCTCACCACCCGCGGACTGGTCTTGCGGAACGCCGAACGGGCGGAAGCGCACGCGGATTCCGTCGGAGCCGATTCAGGAATCCGCGATGAGCGGCGAGAGCTCCGAGACGAAAGAAACCGATTGCGTCGCTGGTCCCGCGTCCTCCGCGGGTGGCGCCTCGCAAGATCTAAGCTCATCTTCTGCCGCTGCGACCGCTGCGACCGCTAACAACAGGCGGCAAGCGAAGGGGACCGCCGCCGCAGCCGCTTCTACCACCCCTGAGCGTTCTCCCCCTTCCGCCTCAGCGGCGGATGCGCCGCACGCTGCGCGAGGCAGCCATCCGGATCAGCAGCAGCTTGTGACTTTGTTTCAAGCGCTCACTCCAGGCGCGGAAGCTCCGCGGGGAGAGCTCGGCGGAGGAGCGGCGGGCGCGCGGCCGACGACGGCGGCGGCGGCGGCGCAGCCAGGTTCAGCCCCAGCCGGCAGAAATATCTCCGTTCCTCCCCGTCACCCGCAGCCGCACTCGGGTCGAAAAAATGCAGGTGGCGCGGATCGGAGCGGGGCTGGCGGAACGAAAGCGGCTGCCGCGGCGGGTAGCACGGCGGGCGGCGCGGGTTCCGCGGGCTCGGGTGGATCTGGCTTGGGAGGGAGCAGCGCCTCGGATGCAATCGCGGGAAGACGTTCGGGTGAAGAGGGCTCGGCGCTGGCGGAAAGACGAGCGCCAATGGAGGGCCTTGCGGAAGTACCCTCGGAAGCACTAGCTGCGGCCGTTATTGCCGCGATCGTGCCCACAGAAGGTGTGCAAAGCGGGTGCAGACAGAGAGTCTTTGTTGCATGTTCACGTGAGAGTTTCCACGGGAGTTTTCGTTTCACGGGCTCGTTTAGGGTTTGCAAGTTGGCATGAGTAGTCACTCTCGTTTACACCGTTGGCGAATAACGGCTATTTTTTCTTTATCTCTTTGTTTGTGTGTGTGTGTGTGTGTTGTTTTATTCCCGCAGGTGCTGTGCCGAAGGGAAATATTGCTTCGGGAACGTCAGGCGGAGCACGCAACTCTCTAGGCGCGTGGTGGAGGTCCGGATCTCGCGGTTCGGGAGGGACAACGCGGTCAGCCGCACTCAACCAATCTCTCGGTACTTCCGCAGCTCAAGGCGCCCCAGGCTCCACCTCGGGAGCAGGCTCGGCAGACCGGTTCGTGGCTGAGCAGAAAGTTATTCTCATGGGGGAGGGCGGTGGGGGGAGCGTAAATCCCTTGGTTCAGGCTACGCAGGGTGCTGCCGGGGCTGCTCGGTTTGGTAACACCAATCAGACGAGTTACAGTCCAGCGGGTGACATATTAGGCAGTAACGTAAGAAATATTGATGGTGTTAATCATACAACAAGCAATGCTGGCAACATTGGAATGGCGAAGGTTTTGCGTCCGACTCAGACCGCCTCCTCGCCGACCCGCCAGCTGTTTCACAGGCGAGCAGCGTCGTCGTCAGCAGTTCCGGCAGCGGACTTGGGTCGGGCAGACCTGAATATTGCAGATCCGGCCGCACCTGCCGGCAGCAGCGGCGGCAGGAAGGGCAGTCCGACAAGAACTTCGAGCCTGGGAAATGCAGGGTTTGGGCAGCTGCGAGCGCTAGCGTCTCTTCTGAAGCAACAGCTGCCACTGCTGCAGAAGCAGCAGCAGCAGCAGCAGCAGCAACAGCAGCAGAGCCAGTTGGAGCAGCAGCAGCAGCAGCAATTGCAGCAGTCTCAGCAGCAGCTGCAGCCACCACAAGAGCAGCAGCAGCAGCAGCTGCTGTCGACGGCACAGGGGGATCGGCAGGTTCCTGTGCGTCGCTCAGATGTGTTTCAAGTGCAGAAGCTACCGGATGGTCTCCGCGCCCTCTTCCGATCGTCCTCAACCTCCGGTGCTCCTTCCCCCAAGTTTTCAACGCAGCAGCAGCAGCAGATGCAGCAGCAGGTACAACAGGTGCAGCCGGTTCAGCAGCAGCAGGTGCAGCAGGTGCAGCAGCAGCAGCATCAGGTGCAGCAGCAGGTGCAGCAGCAATCACCAGCTCCCAGGGACCCTGTGTCAAGGACACCAGCACAGCAGCAACACGAGCTTCTGTTGCAGCAGCATCAGCAACTGCAGCAGGAGCAAGTTCTGTTGCAGCTGCAGCAACATTTGCAGCAGCAACAGCAACAGCAACAGCAACAGCAGCAGCAGCAGCAGCAGCAGCAACAGCAACAGTGGCAGCCGCAGCAACAACAACAACAGCAACAGCAACAACAGCAGCATCTGCAGCAGCAGCAACACTTTCAGCAGCATTCACAACAGCAGCAGGCAGGGCAGTTGCTGCAGCAGAATTTCATTCACACCCCGGTCCCCGCCGTCACACCACCTTGTGCTTTCAATGCTCCACATGGTAGTAATTTCCAGCAACATTCTCTCAACGGTTCGCCTGCCATGCAAGAAGGGATATCAGCCATCGGTGGGGGATCATCCGCTAGTCCAGGCGGAAGTGCAGGTGTATTTGCTAATGCAGGTGGTAGTGTATTCACTAATCCAGGTGCAAATGCATTTGCAAATACAGGTGCAAATGCATTTGGTAACGAAGGTAATATTGGATTCGCTAATACAGGTGCTAATACAGGTGAAAGTGCATTCGCTAATACAGGTGCAAGTGCATTTGCTAACGCAGGTGCAATTGCATTTGCTAATACAGGTACAAGTGCGTTTGCTACTATGGATGCTAGTGCGGGTGTGAGTGCAGGCGCGGGCAGGCAGAGGCCGCGTGGAGCTTGGAGGGAAGATGGGAGGCTGCTTAGCCTTGGGCTGCCTGATGTGCTGGTCACAGATGAGCCACCAGCATCACCTGCTGACTTAAAAAAGATGGATCTTGAGCTGAGATTGTAAGAGGAAAGGAACATCCAATTCACGTAGTATTTTTATTACCTTCATGTGTATGTACATTCAGCCAGGATTTTGATGTGAAATTTAGACTGGGAAATCACATGTGTTTATATACCCTTATGTTTCTAGAATAGCACTTGTATCTCTGATTATGTTTTCCCGTTAACAGCATGCTACCTTACTGTAATAGTCGCGAAGCTGATTGTACCGTATGCCCTTTTTGGTCTTGCTCATTGAAAACTAACACAACTGTACCAATTCGCCCCAATTATACCACCTCCAACAAATTCCAAATCAAATAAAATCCTGCTCGCTGCCAATGGTGCTAGGACAGCTAATACAAGGGGCATTTAGCGGGGCAATTAGGAAGGTAACACAGCAAACAACTGTTGTCCAGAAGCTCTCCGTCGCGTCGCGTCTCTCTCTCGTCCTATTGGCTGAGCTCGCTGGTGTCGTTTCGACCCTCCCGTGCGGCGCGTTCGCACTCGTCCTCTACTCCCTCCTGCGCCTAGCTTCCCGATCCCGCATTTTCCTCCGCCGTTGCAGCCGAATATGGCGCCGGATTTTCCGCCGCGTGGTTCCTCCGCGTTTTTGGAGCCGCTTAGTCGTGACCGTTGCGCGGATTGCAGCGGCTGAGCGGGTTGGTGAAAGCCCGCGGCTCGTTTTGGAGCCGGGTGTGCCCCCAACTCTCGGCCTTTCGTTCTCTTCTCCGATTGGCTCGAGTTCACGTGGTTGCTGACGTCAGATATGGGCATCGACCGCGCAACATGTAAGTGACTGCCCCACACTACCCTCCTCTCCCCCCACCCCCCCACTCCGTCCACCCTCCCCTCCCCCTTTTCCCTCCCTCCGACGCCCGCTGCTGCCTTCTTCACCACCCTCTTTTCTTTCTGAATGTGCCCCATCTTTCCGTCCAGAATGGATATTTATCTGCCCAGTTTCCACCATCGCCAGAAGCACCACCACCACCATCATCACCACAACCGCCATCCCCAGCATGACAACACCACTGCCACTGTCAGCGAAAACAACAGCATTAGCGGCAGAAAAAGCATTACCAGCAGCAGCAGCAGGAGTGAGGGGTGCAGGGTGGTGGTGTTTGTGCATGGGGGGTGTTGGGTGAGCGGTGATAAGTGGCTTTACGCTACCCTTGCTGCCCGATGTGCTGCCGAAGGGGCGACTGCCGTCGTCATTCAATAAACCCTCTTCACTGAGGTAAGTTATGGTTCTTTACGCTGCCGAAGGGGCAATCGCCGTCGTTATTCAATACACCCTTTACCCCGAGGTATGTTATATATTTTTTCATATCTCATGGGGGCTGTAGTGTAGTGCGATTATGTGAGGCCAATTATACATGTCTGTGTACATGTATTGAAGGCCTCTGCTTTGTTGCTAGAGCTTCAGGTATTCTCTTGAACTGAGAAGATTTTTTAGGCGCCTCTAGACATTTTTATTCAAATTTATGTCGTTCCAATCCCGTCAGCTCCTGGCAGCAGGAGGAGGCGATTGCAGCCTCTTCGGGAGGGTCTCCAGCGGAGTGTGATTGCACCATTGCTTGTCAAATTCTGCTTCTCGGTTTCGGAATATGTATTCCTGTTTTATTTTATGCCCTTGCAATTCCGCTAGCTCATGGCAGAGGGGCAGCAGGAGGAGGCAGGTGCGGCCCTCTCATGGGTGTGTGACAACATTCACGGCTACGGTGGCGACCCCACGCGTGTCTTCCTGTGCGGCCACTCCTCTGGTACGCCCCTTGTGCTTCCCTTCATCTGTAATACTGTGTTTCGCCACGCCCTCTCATGGATGTGTGACAGCATCCATAGCTACAGTGGCGAACCCACGCGTGTCTTCCTGTGCGGTCACTCCTCTGGTGCGCCTCTCATCCATGCCTTACCCCTCTACCGTCCCTCTTGACCAGAAACTTCACGTCACTGCCATTGACACGTTGTTGTTGCCTTTTTTTTTTAGAGTCGTTTTGACCCTCTTTGACTTTTGTTGACCCGTGCTGATCATTTTTGGCACTAATTGTTTCTTGTTGACCCCTGTTGAATCCAATTAGCCCCATTTGACCTCATTGACTCGACTTCTCTTGACTCGCAGGGTCGCACACAGTGGCGATGGTGATGTGGCACCGCTTCAAGGAAGGCCTGCTGCAGGCAGCAGAGGCAGCAGACAGGGCAGCAAGGGGTGAAGGGGGGAGGAGGCAAGGAGAGGCAGGGACGGTGGGAGGTGAGAAGGGAGGGGGCAGTGGTACCAGTAAGGCTTATTCAGATCACCGTCACATTAAGAATGTTAATGATGATAATCTTTATCATCAGCTGCAGCAGCGGGGTGAACGGCAGCAGGTTGAAGGGCACAGGGCTATAACGGATACCCGCCAGCCTTACTGTGTGATAGCACTGAGTGGCATTTTCGACCTTCAATACATGCACACGTATACAGTCACCACCGGCACCCCCCCTCTCGCCTGCTTTGTCGAAGCAGTCGGAGGCCCAGCGGCCTTTGCGCGAGGCTCTCCTCCGAACCTGTTCTCAGCACTGGCCGAAGCTGTAGCAGCAGCAGGTCTGGAAACGCATGATACAGCTACAGGAGGGGCCGAGAGTGTAGATGCACCTTCATCTGATGCAGCCTTGTCTCTTTTCTTCTCCGAATTCGGGCGGCAGACTGGTGAAAGAATCATATCAGGCATCGTGGAAGGGAGTATAAAACCTGCTGACTTCCTTCCCCCAATGCTGCTACAGTGCAGCCCGGGAGATGCATATGCGCGCCGCCTCACTGCAGCCTCACACTAGAGCAAGCTCTGGGACACGTGGGTGGTCGAGCAAAGGTTGCGGTTTACTCGTCCGTGCATCATGCGCAGTTTGCATGCCTCTGGAAACCGTGGCCCCAGCCTGAAGGCTTGGCCGAGGCTGAGGCTCGGGCTCGGAAGCGAGTCGGCCGGGTTTGGTGTGGTGATGGGTTACAGAGGGGTGATGCGTGGTTTGGGGGTGAATGGCTGGATTGGTTTTGTAGGTGTTGGGGGTTGGGTGAAGCTGAGAAGGCCAATCAAGACCTTTTGGATGTGGTGGCAGGACGGGTGTTGCTTGACGATATATTGCAGGCTCGTTGTAGCTTATAACCGTACATGCTGTTTACGCATTAGATTACTTCGAGAATTTATGTTATTGTAAGGAAAATCCCTTTTCCTTACCGGTACTTCGCGTCCCTGCTCAGCGCGTACACCACTGTTCCCGCCAACAGCACCCAACACTAAACTGTTACCACTCGTGACACTCGCCTCGACTACCTGTTTCCGCCACTGTTCACGACGCGACCCAACTTC